AGTAGTAGCAGTAGCAGCAGCCGTAGCCGTAGCGGCAGTGTACTCAGTACCACTACCGTAGCAGCATTGCCCTTCAGATTCCGGAGGCTGTTGACACCACCCATGTCCATCACCGTCGCTGCCAAGACATCCGCGAAAATACCAGGATACAAGATGTGATATAGTGTACTTAGTAGATTCACAACTCTTGAGAGAAACAGCTGCCCCAAGGAACCAGGGTTGGCACAGTAGGGGCCTAGCAGTTCTGCAATCAGCTACCGAAACTGTACGGGTTACCGGCCCAAAGAACACTGAACACGCTATCCCAGGTCCAAGACACAGCTGCAAAGACATTGGCATACGATTTGAACCTAAATATCTATATTCTGTATTGGATAACTGTTTTGAGATCTGGTCTACTGCCTTAGGCACATAGAAACTTGGAGGATGAGAGATGGGACACACTTATTAAATCCAAAACTCTCCATCCTAAACCCTTAGCACTAGGCCCTAAACCCTCACACTTTCAACCTTAAACCCAGAACCCTGCACCCTACGAAAAGACTCGGTCTCTCTCGACAATAGGCCATGGACCCCTGACGGCCTCCGCAACCCAACAGAACAGTTCGCTTTAAAGGGGCCTTGCCAGTCAGATCAGGCTTCCTTTAAGGGTTCGGTAACAAGGGCTTTAGGGTTTTCGACTTCTTAGCTTGGAGTGGGGCTTGGGGCCACATTATACTTTCACCACAGGACTTGCGTAGGGCCTGGAGCTACACATCCAATGGCAAGCCACACATATGTGTTTATATATATATATATATATGGTAGGGCTTCTAGTACCAGCCAGAAAACACCGGAGGCAAACATCAAAGGGACAGAGACACTGGACGAGGAGGAAGAAGAGCGAGAAAGGAGCAGAAAGGCGAGAGGGGAGAGAAGGGGAGCCGCACAGAGAGACGGAGAGAGAGCGAGAGAGACAGCGAGAGAGAGAGGGAGAGAGAGACGCAGAGACACAGATGCAAAATCGAAAGGGAGAGATAGAAATGTGTGCCGAAATATCTTTCGTATATATCTTTAACGACGACAAGAAGACGTGACATAGACCACATAGATGTAGGCATATGTGCAGCATGGTTGAACGACCCAGGCACTGAAATAAAGCAGACACAAAGAAGCTGGCATAGATAGATGGATGAAAGACAGATGGAGAGGTTGATGGATAGATATATAGATGGATAGATAGACAGATGGACAGATGGACAGATGGATAGATGGATAGATGGATAGATGGATAGATGGATGGATGGATAGATGGATAGATGGTAGATAGGTAGATCGGTAGATCGGTAGATAGGTGATAGGTAGATAAATAGATAGATAGGTAGATAGGTAAATAGGTAGATAGACAGACAGACAGACAGACAGACAGACAGACAGACAGACAGACAGACAGACAGGTATTCACACATACAAAAGACAAAAAGATAGAATGACGGACAACGGCCGTTTTGCATGCTTAGAATCATACGGACCTCAAGAAATAGATAAACATCAGAAACCCGCAATCTTCCAGACAATCATGATAGAAACCGGCGACAAGCTAAACCCTAAACCCCAAGACCTTAAAGTACAACACCCCCTAAACCCTTAACCCGGGCTTAGCTCCACACGAGCGATGCTGCGAGCACGGCCACTGCACGGCTGTCCCTGAGCAGAAGCTCTCTGCTATTGCAGTTTATATATATATATATACATATATAGTATATCATACTATAGTAAAGTATAGTATAAGACCATATAACACAATATAACATAATTAAACACCTTTCGTACAACATAACACAACATAAGATAGCACAACACAGCATAACATAACGTAACATAAGAACACATAACATAACATACCAAAACAGGTCATGACATAACACAACATAACATAACATATACTACGGTAACATAATGTAACATAACAAAGCATAATATAACAGGTTATAACTTATAACATAACCTAAACAACAGAATAGAATAGAGCATTATATAGTAATACATATATATATATATGGTAGCATAAGATAACATAATAAAAGATGGTAAGATAGGATGAGATAAAGTAAGGCAAGACTGCATTATACTACATATTGTCTTACAGTATATTATATCATGCCGTATTTTATTCTGATATTATACTTCATTACATCTATCCTGTGCTATATTACATTATATTACGTTATATGGCATTATGTTACATTATACTGCATTGTCGCATTACATTACATTATATTACCTGGAAATACATTCGATTCCATCATATTACACTGAACATTTGTATTACGATATATAACAGTATAATACACTGTATTGTACTATATCATTTTGTATTGTTTAGTATGCCCTATTCTAGTTTAGTATATCTTTTTGTTCAGACTACGTATGTTCTAGTATGACATACTCGACTATATATTGTATATGGTGCTACGTTATGTTAAATTGATCTCATGCTACACCCTGCTATATTATGTTAAAAGTATATTGTGTTATCTTGTCCTATGTTCTGTTTTCCCGTAACTTTACATTATAGTATATTACAGAAGTTTTTACGATATCATACCATACCATACTGCACTGTGGTTTTCACATATTCTAGTATATCATATTGTATTGCGGTTTATTGGTCTGCTACCGTTATAATATAGTATAATGTACGGAACTACAAAAAATACAAAATTTACTATAATCCTTTACTACAGTGAAATAAGTTTAGGTACAGAATATATTCGAATATAGTAGCATAGAATGCACTAGTCAGATGTTACATTATACTCGTAAGATATCGTATTCTAGTATGTAAATCGCACTATAATATACTACAGTACGATGTAGTAGGACGTACGGCAGACGACTAGAGTATATTGTAGTACATTGTGGTATGTTGTAGTATAGGATGTTACAGTATGCTGCTCTACATTCTAGTATGTTAAGCTATGGCATATCTGTCTATATAGTATAGGGTTCCATGAGGTTCCATAGACCTACTCAGCTTAGTCTTGAGGGTATACGGCTCGGGCTTAGGGTTTGAGCTTAGACTTCAACCTGATTGCTCGAGGCTTTTCCCTAAACCCCTACACCAACAGCCTCAAAATCGCACACTCCTGAATCCCGAAACCTAAACCCTAAACCCTAAACCCTAAACCCTAAACCCCTAAACCCTCGAAACCCGACACCGTAGACCTGTCAGCGCCCTTCGCGCTTAAAAATCTCGGGGTCGGCGCGTCATCTTGTAGACCTGGAGATAGACCGGGCCAATCATGCCTTGGAAGAGGCGGTATTTGGGGCTTCGGTTATTGGGGGTTTAGGGTTTAGGGTTTAGGGTTCAAGGTTTAGGGGGTAGGGTTGTGGGCTAGGGTTCCGGGAGGTTTGAGGAAGGTTCAGAGGAGCGGAGAACCGCTGCTGCCGTTATCCGTGGTTTTGGGAACTCGGGGAGCTCTTAAACTGTAAAGCTTTATGGTGCAAGAACTAGAGTTGTAGGATTTATGAATTACGGCATTCTGGTGTAGGTCAAGAGCTGGGCAGAAGGAGCGACAGCCTTCTTTGCTGAAAGGGGAAACCCTCTGAAGGGAGAGCCAAACGTCCAAGCCAAACGAAAGGCGGCGGCCACACTGCTCTGAGTTCCGGATCCCAAAAGCTTGCGAGTTTAGGACCCTAAACCCAAAAACCTAACTCACAACCTAAACCCCAAACCCTGACCCCTCACTCTGCATCCCAAGTTCGGGGCTCAGGTGCGGGTACCCGAAGGTACTGCCACCCACCAACTCCACCACACCGAAAATCCGAAAACCCAGAACCCCAAGCCCGACGAGCCCATCATGTAGGGGCCTTGATAGTTAGAATCGGGTCTCATGGGGTATTTTGGCTATGATTCCAGTAAGGAACCCTCCGAACAGTGTTGGTGATTTATTTAGGCACCCATATTACCCCCAACACTCCCTGAATCCTAGAACAGAAGATTGACAAGGTTGACCCATTGCTCACTTCCACTACTATTTTGAGGGCTCCTCAGTTTCTTTTCAATATTCAGGATCTGCCAAGATATTACCCTGAGCGCTAAGGCCCCCATGTTCAACTCAAACCGACTGTGCGCCGGTGCTGAACTGCGGCATCGCCGCGAAGGTTGGCCTGCAAGGACTTCCAAAGTTCCATGACGTGGGCTTAGGGAACAGGGGGGTGCTTATAAGGTGTGTAGGGTTTGGGGTTTGGGGTTTAGGATTTCGGGTTGCAAGCTTAGGCTTTCTCAGCTGTATTTGGTTTGGGTGTCTCGCGTTTATGTTGTTTAAAGATTGGCCTTAGGGGGTCTTGGAGATTTAGGGTTTAAGCTTTAGGTACTTGGCTTAGGGTGATTCTATCTTAGCTATGGCTGAGGATGAGAAGTCTACCTACAGCTCGTTGGAGCACGCGTTTGTGTCTGTGCAGCTTTTTTGCCTCGACCCCCCTAAACCCTAAACCGTAAACCCTAAACCCTAAAACCTAAACCCTAAACCCTATACAGGGCTTCATCATGGTGTCCTTCAGGCTAGCAGGGCTAAGGCCCCATGTACAGCGTCCGGAGAGCCCGAAACTTCCTAGAGCCCAGGTGCTTTCGCTTTTCGGGTTAGGGTTATTGGGGAGGCACCCACATTTCAGGAGATGTGGGTATTTCTCTTTAGGGCTTAGGGCTTCGGGCCTTAGGGTTTAGGATTGATCAGGGTTTAGGGCTTCGGTGCCAGGGATGGAGAGCTCGATGACGTCGGGCATTCGGGCACAAGGACGTTGGCGTGTAGAGCACCCAAATGCCCTACACCACAGACCTGTCTTGACCTCCAACCTGGGCACTAAGGTACATAACTATTCCTAACACAACAGCAATCAGCAAAAGCCATCGAACCATCTAAAAGCCTTACAAGCTCTGAAACCCAAACCCTCGAAACCCAACCCCGACACTCAAAGAGCAACGCCGTGGGCGCATCCTTTTCATCAACCGATGCATGGACGCTTCGCGGGTGGGCCGGCTGCATCAGGCTCTTCCAGCTCCCCGCGTGCCTGGAGGCTTGCAAAAAAGGTTGGGGCTTAGGGCTCAGGTGCGACTACTACAAGGCTTAATTACTACGTTGCAGAGATTTCGGGTTTGGGGCTGCCAGGGACTTTGCCTTCTGGCTACGGGGTTTACGGTTGAAGGTTTATTTGGGGGATCTTGGGGCTTGGGCTTGAGGGTTCTAGAGGTCAGGGATGCTGGATTCATGGGGCTCTGGACTTCAGATGCCTGGTGTAGGGATCTGACTTCCGTTTCGCTGGTGCTTCACGGTGCGGTAGGTCGAGATGCTCAGAAACTTCTCGCAGCGGAAGATCCGGAAGCTTCTTGCCATCAAGAAGGGGTGCCTTGTCGGCCGGCCTTCATAAGTTTCTAGCACCCATGGTATAGATTAAGGTCCCTTCCCTTCCGAAACTCCCACATTTGCTCTCTCCGGCCTGGGCTCCACTGAAGCCCTGCAACCCCAATCTAAGTCCGAATCCCAAAGCCCCCCCCCTCGCCGGCTACCAACCATGCATCCTTACATTGGTGTCAAAATAAGTTTTGGGGCTGAGGCTTGGTGTTTACGGAACTTCGAAACCCTACGTCAAGATCGGCAAATACTGCCCAAGTTCGACTGAACACTCCCCTGAACTGCTACCCTGCACCCCTTAAGCCCCGAAACCCCTAACCCCAAACCACCCTAGACTCCGAAGCCCTAAACCCTGAACCGTGGACGCTACGAAGCCCTGAACTTACCCGGGCCTCGGCGTCAGCGCGCGCTGCCCGCAGCGCCGCGGCGCTGGAGAGGACGTCCTCGCACATGGATTTCTACGAGAGGTAGGGTGGGGAAGGAGGGGGTGGCTTTGTGGTCGGATAAGGTCAAGTATTCTGGGATTGAGGGATTCAAGCGCATTCAGGATCCAGGCTGGGGGCCAGAGTTGTCAGGACTTTGAGACATAAGTTCTTAACCCCAACAAATCCTAGGACCCCAACCTAAATCCCATACCCCAAACCAATCCCAGGGTCCAAAGGGATATCGAATTTCCTCGCAGCTTCAAGGATGTGATGTGAGGGTTAGAAGTTTCGTACTCACAACGGGTTTTGCGGCTTGGGATACCGGAATCTGGGTTTCGGTCTGTAGGGGTGTCAGCTTAAATGCGCAGCCGGGCACTGATTAGCACAAAAGGGAAAGATGAGCACGAGAGGGAGCACATCAGGACTGATGCCAATTCCGATACTGAAATACGAGTGCAGGTCTTGATACATTGCCCTCTGGCTCACTTCTGATCTGCAATTACACTGTGCACCTGGAACGAAACCCTGCTCCACATGGTTTTCAGGAGCTGCATTTACGATACCATAGTAGAGGGCAGGACTAGATGGCATCATTTCTTCATTGGGGGAACTTGAAGTCGAGCGTCTTGTCCAGAACGGCACAATGACAAACAGTAATAGTATACCCTTTTTGCCCCACTGTATCCCTTACCCTAAATACACCCCCCAAGCCCCACTCTTACCCTAGAGGCTTGATGAGAGCGCCTGGCTGAGGGCCACCAAAGCCGTCTTCGGGTAGCCGTGCTCCTTCAGCAGCCGCGCACAGCCGACGACCTCTGGAGCAAACAACAGGGGCCCTTAGCGTTTAGGGCTCAAGGTACAGGGCTGTTGGTGATTCGGGCCTTAAGTAAGACGGCTTATGCAAGTTTGTATGGTTGCGGCGAATAAAGAGTCTGTATGTATGTATGTATGTATGTGCGTGTATGATGTACCGCATGCATAGATATAGTGTAATACTGAACATATGGACACACATGCACCTAAACACATATATGTGTGTGTGTGTGCGTGCGCATCCATACCACATACGAACATATATACATACATACATACATACATACATACATACATACATACATACATACAGACATACATACACACATACATACATACACACATACATACATACATACATACATACATACAGACATACGTCCATACGTCCATACGTCCATACGTACGTAGACATGTACATGTATGAATGTATGAATACAAATACATGTACATGTACATGTACATATACAACAACATATACAAATACATATACATATACATATGTGCATATTTGTACGCATATATGTGCGTGTGTGGTTGCAAAAAATACATAAAATCATATACACGAATGCATGCACGTATGCATACATACATACATACATACATACATACATAGATACATACATACATACATACATACATACATACATACACGCATATATGCACAAACATATACAACCACATCTATTTGTCTTGTGTGCCTATGCACATTACCTACCTACCTACCTACCTACCTACCTACCTACCTACCTACCTACCTACCTACCTACCTACCTACCTACCTACCCATGTACACACCTACCTACCTACCTACCTACCTACCTACCTACCTACCTACCTACCTACATACCTATCTCCCTGTCTGCCTATCTGTCTATCGCTGAGGCTGTCTATCTGTCTATCACCGTGTCTGCTGTCTGTCTCTCCATCCATCTATCTGAGTAGCGATCTGTCTATCTGACTATCTAACGATCTAACTGTCGAACTAGATATCTCGCTGTCTGTCTCCCTGTCTGTCTATCTGCCTACATGCCCATCCATCAACCATTCATCCATCATCTAGCCATCTATCCAATTCTCCAAACATGCACTTGTGTGAAACGGATGTTGAAGGTTGAGCGTCGGCATTCTTAGCACAAAGGGCCCAATGCAATTAGCTTTTGTTGCACTGCCTTTGAAGTGTATTGGGGCTGAGGTTTTAGGGTTCAGTCATAAAGTGTAGGATCCAGGGATTAGGGCCATTGGGGGTTTGCAGCTCCGGGTTTAGGGTTTAGGGTTTAGGGTTTAGGGTTTAGGGTTTAGGGTTTAGGGTTCAGGGAACCCCCAAAGCCTAAGGACCGAAATCGAACCAGGAAAACCCAAAAGCTCCAAAGCGAAGAACCTTTAACACCCTAAAGCCGCCTCAAGCCAGAAAACAAGCAGACAGCCGACGGGTAATATAAGGGCCTTAATACTTAGAATAGGGTTTGGGGGTATATTATGCTGTAACTATAATACGGAGCCTCCTAAACCCTATTCTAACTAGTAAGGCCTAAACCCCCAAACAAAAGCCCCTCCACGTTTGAAGCCGGCCGGGCTCGGGACGCTCTCACGGATGCGCGTGGAGCTAAGGGCCTTGGCAAGACACTTTTGCATGGTGATTCAGAATGTCATGGCACCATAAGAGGGTGTTGGACTTCGGGTTTGGGTTGCAGAGTTTGCGTCGGGTTTTGGGGTACGTGATGTACAGTGCAGGATGTAGGGCAAGAGTAACCTCAAGCCGAAGAAAGCGCAAGTGGACGTGCACCCTTTCATAAAAGATGCAGAGAAGCCTGCTGCAATCTTGTGGACATGCTTCACTGACAGTGCAATGGGCGAAAATGGACCCATCTGACCTTGAGTTGTATTCGTTCAGGATGTTTCGCAAAGGCCTGCTCAAGGTCATAACATGTTCAACTGGCACTACCCGCGGCTTCACTTTTACCGGTTGTCTGGCTATACTCTTACGAATATGCCAAGATGCGCTTGATTGACAGGGCCCCAGCATAGACAAAGACTAACGTTGACAGCTGCAGTATATTTCGCAGCACGAGGTGGGTGAAAAGCAGGGCCTCGTTTGGAGAGCGACGATGTGGCCTGAATTTTGCTTCCATCCAGATCATTGTACTAATCGTCACCACCATCATGATAGCAAAAATAACCATCGTCGACATCATACCCGTAGTAGGCCTTGACATCAGCATCATGAATCACCATGATCAACCCTGAACGTCAGCTCTGTCTGCCTGCAGTGCAGGTTTGTACTTCTCCTCGATGTTTCGAAGAACGGACGACTTATACCACCAGCGCCTGTTCGTTCGAAGGTACCACTCCTCCAAGTCCGTCAGAAGCTCCAAATTACCAGAGGCGGTTCTGTAAGGAACCCGTGCCTCGTCAGGCCCCTCCAGTGCTGGCAGCAGGAACAAGGAGGCCACCCCCGAGGCGGCAGAATTCTCCTAGGAAGGCCCAGACAGGCTTGAGGGGCTCGGCTTACGGTTTAGGCGGTTTAAGGCTAAGAGTCTCGGGGCCTGGGATTTTGGGGGCCTAGCTGGTGTCGAGGTGTAGGGCATCGGGGTTCAAGCTTCGGGCTTTGGGGTTTTGGCAAGGTGCGGGGCCTAGAGGTTTAGGGGTTGTGGGCTCAAGCCTTCAGGTATTCAGGCATATCCCTCTCGAATTCCCTTTAACCTAACCTTTGGAACAAAGCCCGACCCCGAATCCCAAAGAAGCATGCGGAAACAACTGGCCAGAATCCGCCTTCGCCGGCCTCAAATCACATCCCAAATCCCCAACGAAACAGTTCGCGCTGCAGATCAGACGCCTCAACAACCTAATCCCTGCACCTTGAACCTGGAACCATACACCCCTGAAGCTCCTGGGCCCCACTGTAAACTGCCAGACTTTCAAGCGCCACACCCGAAAGCCGGAAGTCGTAAGCTGACACGAGTGCTTCAAGTCAGCAAGGGACCCCAGTATACAGAACCTAGGGTTTAGGGTTTCGGGCTCACTAAATGGTAGAACCCCTTGTGCTTTACAGACCTCCAGCAACACAGGGACCCCTGCTCTCCCTAAACCCGCACACCTAAGGGTTTAGGGTTTAGGGTTTAGGGCAAGATCCTACCAAAAAAAACTCGTACCTAAAAACTACGCCCTTTACGCGAAGCAAGCTCGAAAAAAAAAACTGAAGCACAAGCCGAGCATCGAAGGATCCAAGGGTAGATCCGAGTAGTTCCTTCTCGCCGTACCTGGGGGTTCAGGGCTGAAGGCTTCAGGGATGATAACTTTTGGCCCAGCCTTTTTTTGGTGTTTTCTTTTTGGCTTCAGACTTCAGGGTCTTAGGGCTGCTAGGGCTTCTTTAGACTGTGAGCTTCAGGATTCCAGGGTTTCTTTAATCCTTTAGCGGCTTAGGGCTCGGAATCTGAGGCTCCCTGCAGAAGGCCCGCTCGAGCCTGAATCTCCCCCAGTTCTATGGGTTCAGGGATTCAGGGTTTAGGGTTTAGGGTTCAGGGTTTAGGGTTCAGGGTTTAGGGTTTAGGATTCAGGGTCGAGGGTTTTTGGGGTTAATCGGATTCAGGGAATCCCTGCAGCAGGCATGGCGCGTGCAAGATACCCGAACATACACACTGAGCCTACTTTAGGCACCCATGGGTGGGAACAACGGAAATAATCTTAACATACTCCAACTCATACCCCGAAAACCTGTTCTAATTGCCAAGCGGTCCTGTACTACATCTAGGGGGATCGGGACGGGTCCGATGAGATTCACAGGTGGCATCCAGCGAGTTTCGTTCTGCTTCCATATCACCTCTGACAGTTTCTAGAGCGGCTGAAGGCCCGACGAGGCTTCGGGGGTGAGGGTTTACGGTGTAGGGTTTAGGGTTTTAGGGTTTAGGGGGTTTGGGCTTTAGGGTGTGGGGTTTAGGGTTAAGGGCTTTAGGGTTTAGGGTTTAGGGGCTTTTGGTAAGTGCCATCCCGGCTTCTTGATCGCCACCCGCGCGTCAATCTGGAAGCTGCGAAGCGCCGACAGCAAGGCCCTCGGGTCCTGGCTCAGCCGGATGCTCTCCGCCTTCAGGGATGTCACCGCTTGAACCTTACATTAAACCCTAAACCCCAAAACAAAACCTTAACCCTACAACCCTAACAACCCAAAAACACGCGCGCACACACACACACACAACCAAAAACAAAAAGTAAACACTTTGAGAACCCCTCAGCACAAGAAGAACTCCAAAACTGAGAAAACCCTGGCGCCCTCCTGCCGGGAGATAAGAACCAGGTCGGTCTTGTCCAGTAGCTCGGAGGGGTTGTTCCAAGAGGCCATTCCTGTCTCAGCTGTCGGGTTTAATGCGAAGCTTGAACATACCTGACATGACTTACTTTTGCGTAGGTAGCTATAGATTCCACGTGAGATTTGTGTACTTTAACAATCAACTTTCGGACCCGCAGGTTTCGGGTGGAGTCGGAGTTTCGGCCTGTGGGCTGCGCGAGCAGAGTCTAGGATGTCGGGCTTCGGCGGGTTTTTGTGTCTGGGGTTTAGGGGTTAGGAGTTAGGGTCTAGGGGCTTGGGTCTGGGTGTTTATCGTTTCACCTCTCTGAGCAAGAATCCTTAGACCTTGAGTTGGGCCAGGAGGATTCAAATCGTGAGGGCTGTTTTGCAGACTACAACCCCGGGCCCGAAAGCGGGTCGGGGAAGCGTCAGACTCATGGTGATGTAATGTAGGGGCCTTAACAATTAGAATAAGGTTTTGGGGGGTTCCTTATTCTAGTTGTAGTATAAGATACCCCAAACCCTATTCTAATTATTGAGGCCCCTGGTATTAGACACCTGCTGAACTCGAAAGCCTTGCCTTCCTTTGAGGGCCTAAAAGCGTGGGATCCCCCAAACCCCAACTAAGGCCCTCTCTTCTTGAGGATCCAAAACTCCTGGCGAGAGATTCCGGGCATGGAAGCCCCAACACCCCCTAGGCCGAAACTGGCATTCAAGAAAGGCAGCATGCCCCCCAGGAGAAGCGGACTTGGAGTTTGGACTGTAGGGATTTTGGCTTGGGGCTCAGGGCTTTCAGGCCGTTTGGGCTTCAGGTTTCTGGGCATCTGATGGTCGAACCAAGGAGAATCAAAAGCTCCTGCGAGGTTGTCCACGCCGAAGACGGCGGCTAGCCGCTGACCATCCTTTACCAGCGGCGAGTGGGCTGCGAAGTGGTTCAGCAATGCCTGCAACAGTCTCAACTCAACACTAAACCTGAACACGAAACACCGAATCCCAAAACCATCAAACGACTAAACCCTGGTCCTGGACCCTAAGTTGTTTCGGCTTGGCTCCACTCCACCCAAAACTCCAATGGCAATCTGATTTTCCTACCAGCAGCAACTGCCAAGCCCTCTTCGACCCTGCGGCAGTGGAGCCTTCGTCGGCACCGTGCGCAGGTAGCCTGCTTCGGGCTTCCATCTTTCAAGCTCCGATCCCAGGGTCCGGGTGTTTTCGGAGCCCTGCTTGGAAGTGCCTCTGGAACCCACCAATGGAGTTGCGCTAGAACTCAGAAACCTGCCACCGTCGATCCGAACCGTGTGGAACCTCATTCAACGCCTCTTGGATCCTAGAACACCCTGATATGCGAATTCCGATGCGCAATTCTGACAAAGGTTCAGAAACCCTACAGGCCCCGCAGCCGCAGCTTTAAAAAAAACGCTGCACATCAAGCTCTTGTCCCAGAACGGGTCTGGGCCTGCAGGCAGCCGCGAGGCCCAGTAGTTGGGCGAATCTTCAAGAAGCCTCTTTTTGTCATTCATGAGTTTCGAGCACGTACATACACACTTACAAGGCTGCATATACATGGGTGCATGTGTACACGGGCGCATGGACGCAGCTTGGCGGATGTATACAAATCTATCTATCTATCTATCTAT